ATTTGTTTCTTATCTTCTTCTTTGTATTGTTTTTATGACGTGGTGTCGTCAATCTGCTGTTCCTTCGTTATTGCAGCCACGTTATGGCTTAACGCTTAACGCATCGGCGTTAGCGTTGGCTTTCCCTGTTTTGTGTATTATTTCATAATCGTCTAACTTTCTTCTAACTTTAATCTCCACCTGATTAAACGCGAACCGGGATCTGTTGAATATTAAAGAATTTTATAATTATTTTAAGATCGATAATTATTTTAAATTTTGTTCCGTATAAGTAGGTCTGAAATGCTTTACTGCTCATATTATTGCGAATAATCCTTTTTCGGTCGTGTTATAATTTTGTTCCGCCCGTGATAATACGCGGCTGGTATATACGACGGATTGATCTTGACCTATCTCGCCTTGTGATAACGGCTCTTATTGTATAATCCAATGCATCTGTGGTAAAGAGAAATTCTTTATAAAATCGGGATATTTTAATACAGGTGCCGTTGTTAATTTGTCTTTTAACGTGTCAAATGCGTTTTGCTGTGATCCATTCAAATTTCTTTCCTTTCTTTGTGAGTTTCGTTAACGATTTAGCGATTCGTGAGAAATCTTCTATAGTATCTTCTATAGTAAAATAAATTTTCTATAGTATCCAGCTAGTCTAATGAATGCTTGTCCTTTACCTTTTTGGAGAAAAATCCTTTTTTATGGCATGTAGTTTTGATGGATCTGGTGAAATTCCATTTTCTGTAATTATATGTCCTAAATAAACTATTTCTTTCCGTAAGAATTCGCACTTGTCTGGTTGGAGTTTTAGATTGTTTTCTCTTAATTTTCGGAGAACTTGTTCTAATCTTTTGTTATGTTCCTTAAGACTAGGACCGTATATTACAATGCCATCGAGATATACTAGACATTTAATCCCTTGTAAATCCGTTAAGATTGAGTTCATTAGGCGTTGAAAAGTCATAGGTGCGTTTTTCAAATCAAACGGCATTCTATTAAATTGGCTGTATGGTGTAGAGAATGTGAGAATTTTATTTTTATCTCGCTTCGCCATTGATATCTAGGTAGTAACCTGATGCGAGATCTAATGTCATGAAATATTTCGCGTTGCCGAACTGATCGAGTATATCCGTTATGTTGGGCAACGGGAATGAGTCTCCGATTGTGAGACCATTCAATTTTCTAAAATCAATCACAATTTCATTTTATCTGAAGCATCTGTCTTTTTCGGCACGACTAATAATGATGCGCTGGCTGACATTTGGTCTGATAATGTGCTCTAGCATTTCTTGGATTTGTTTTTTGGACTATTTATTTCGTTTTTGCTTTTAAAAAATGAGTAAAACGGTAAGGGCGTACGAATCTGTTCGTACTGATATCTCGTGCTTTTTTTGTTGTGCGTTAATGTGTCTCCTTCTAAGTGAAATACATCATTGTATTCATACATAATTCTAATAGAGATTTCTGTTCTTCCTGATTTAAATGCTCTATGTGTAACGAATTCTGTATTCGTCGTTCTTCCCGAGAGATTATTTTTGTATTTTTGCTCCTTGTCTGTATTGCGTTTACAGACTCTTGCGTTATGCGTTTTTCCATCTAGCTTCTAATCCGATACTTGAATGATTTTTTCTTCTGTTACATTTAGTATGCTAATTGGACATGTATAATTTTATGGTTCGACTAGAAAACATCCGATAAAAATTCCAGCTATCATTTCTTCCGGTTTCATTAATTTGATTTTGTTTTGATTTGTCGTGACTTGTACGATTGTTTCACTGTGCGGTCCTAAGGTCACACGCCTGTGTAGCTTGAAATTTGTATTTCTGAATTGTACAGACTTTGTCTTACTATCAAATGATTATATATCGCCAAATGAAGTCCGCTCCTAAGATTGCGTCATATTCCATTAGTGCATTATCTCACACCATATATACCGGGTGTTGTATCTTTTTTCGAGATAGCTCGATTGTAATGTGTTCTACCTAGTGTTATTATTTCATGTCCTGCCGGTTAATTTAATTTTTTCATTTTTTTAAATTAGAACGTCTAATAAATATTTCAATTTTATTATCGTCGCTGATGCGCCCGTATCGAATAAGAAGTTCATTTTTCTACTTTTGGCTTCTGCAACAGGTAATGTGATCGCGTTTAATCCGGTGTTAACGAGCGATGTCCTTTGATGTATGTCACGCGATACTCTGATGCGGAACACGGGGAGGTCGATTTACTTTCGTCGGTTTCGTCTTATTTTTCAAATTTTTCACGTACTTTTTTTTTCGCGAATTGAAAGAATTTTTTTCTGATGTATTTCTATTACTTTTTTCGGTTTTCCGTTTAATATCCACCATTTCTGGCGCAAATGCCCTATCTTTTTGCAATAACTACATTGTTTTTTTATCGCGTTTACGTGGAATTGCTCTTCTTAGACAAAGTAAATTTATTTGCAAAATGGCTAATCCTGCAATCGCGCCTGTAATCGATTTTTTCGCATTTGTTGCAACGCGGGCTTCGAGTTTGTGTCGTGTTAGAATTATATATATTTCGGCTTCTATATGCGGGCACTCGTGTGCTGGACCCTCGCGTTTTCTCCTCTGCACTAGCCCCCGATTGCTTCTTTGTTTTATATCGTTGCGATCGCGCGATTAATTTAATGTCCTCGTGTAATCCATTCTGGTAATTATGTAACGCCTGCTCTTTTATGTTTTCTAAAATCGCACGTTGTTGTTCGACAGTGTGGTTCTTGTCTTCTTCCATGGATTCGTAGTTCCATGTTTACGTTATCTATTCGTCTGCCGAATTCTTGCGCGCTCTCATTCGGTTTTTGCTTAAGCGAATTAAATTCAAGTTGCAAATGATGCTCCGTTTGCTCAAGTATTTTTTTTCTAATTCTCGCTTTAATTGCTCAAAGTTTACTATATCTCGCGTACGGAAGTCCATCATAACCTTGCCCTTAAATTTGGTGCAAAGGATGGTTTCAAGTAATGTGTTCATCCGCAGGGTGTATATCGCGTATGTATTGACATTGAGAAACTTATATACTCTACTACGTGAGGTGTCGTCGATCTCTGTATTCGGGATCATATTACATGCGTCCTTCAGCGTTAAAAACACTAGCGAGTTTTCGAATTGGTTTCTTACATCTTAAAATGAGCGATCGTAAGTGAAGTCTAATGGATGTGGATGACAATCTTGCGAGGCCCTGTTTCATTCGTCGGGCAGTCGCGCATTCCATTTTATTCTGTAAACTGTATGCGTAATTCGCGTATTTCATGCAGAAGTTCGCATAGCAACGCATTTTATGGCGCATTAAATGTGATTCGTCGATGGTATGTCTTAAATTTCGTATTTCATTCTCAATTTCTTCGGTCGGGAGGTTTAGAGAATTGGTTGCCGAAGGATTTGCCATTTCACTTATCAGTGCTTGGTATATATCGTTTGAACTAAATATGCTGCCGTCGTGAAGTCTGTGAGAGCGTCGTGACTGTACGTGTGTGTCAATGTGGGAATCGATATCGTTTAGCATGAGTAGGCTGAAATCGTTTGCGTCGCATGGGAATTCGCGTTCGGTTATTACATAGACATATCGCTGTCAGGAGAATATTCTAAAACTCGGCGTATGCAATTACGTATATCTAATAATGCGCTCTTGGTGGTATCTATCGCTGAGACGGTATTCGCGCTCCTAGCTAATTTATTGGAGAGCCATGGTTTTGGCCAGATCGCCGGTTTAGCTATGTCCCTCGCTCTAGGCATTCGCATACATATAAAATTTATTTCAGACTCACATTAGTAGACATATGATCGCTCGCATGGTCATTGTTGTCTGTACCGGCGTGTCGGCTAACTACGCTGGTAGTAGTGCATGTCGATGAGGTGTCCTTGCTACCTGATGTCGATGTACATGGACGACGCTGGCTGGCGTTCGGTGCTCGTGGGACTCCGATCGTTGCTTCGCTGCCACTGGACATTCTTTCTATCTTAAATCGGCACTCTGCTGAATTTTCACTACTCTGGCACAATTTTGTGGGCGACTTGTTTTCTGACGGGGCCTTCTCCGTCCGCCTGTTTTCCACAGGTCTTGAAATTTCGATTTGAGGGTGAAAAGAAAAAATTGTTTCTTCTGTCTGCAGCCTTTAGTCTGTTACTGCAGATTTTATTACTTGAAAGTTTTTCCTCCCTTTTTGGGAAAGTTTTTCCTTCCGTAGTTTGGTACGTCAGGACTTACCCTTTGATTCTGCTGGCTTAGTCAGTGATCCTCGTAAGTTAGTGATCTTGGGGATGGTTTTGACAATCCCACCGTTGCCATCAAATTGTTATACTCCGGATGGACACGAACTTATTATCTAGGAAAGTCGAGTTTGCTAAGCCTGAAGAGTTGAATCCTCGAGCAGGATCGTTGAGTAAAGGGTTCTCTTCAAAATCACGTACACTCACTTTATTGATAAACTGAGAAATTTATTAGGTTAATTGCACAATGTTTGCAAATGTTTTAGGGCTACAATGTTTTATAACTTGACAGCGTCTGACAGCGATTTACAATATTTACTCTCGCACTCGAATTTGTGCGATCCGGCACGGCTCGTGTTGCGTGGGAGGCCGACGGTCATTACATGATACTTGCTTATCTTAACTCGCGTGAAACTCAGCGACGGGCTGCGATCGTGATAGATTACCGCTCTGGTTAATTCTTAGTATGACTTCGCGTTCCTATCCTCAGGTAACTGATTATATATTATATTGATAATAAATGCCTGATCAGCGTTCTGATTGGGTTCATCGATCGATTGCATGGTATTACTAAATCAATATTGCGCACGGGTCGATCAGTAAAAAGGAAAAGAAATTTATGATCGACTGATCGACTTTTCGCAATCGTTTTATACGACGCATTCCTGCGGTCTTTCGAAAGACTGATCGCAGTTTCTGCAATTTTGCACTTTCGTAGTCTTTCGAAAGATCCTTTTCGTAAATCGCTTGTTGCTATGTGGAATATATCTAGTTGCAGGTCTATGGCTACAACAGTATATTTTAATATATGTATTTTATGTATATTTTATTATTAAATATCAATTAAGTACTAATATTTATTATAGTTTCGACCAAGTTTTTTTCATTTCTTTCCCTTCCTGCATTAGAAAAATCAGAACAATCTTAGGAGATAAAAAAATCATATTAACCATGTATGTAGTAAAAGATGATTTTTCGATTGATTGCGCAAAAATATTCAGAATAAGTTTCTTGAAAAAGTAACAAGCAAGGTGCAATTACGGAAGGAAACAATTACGAATCAGAAATGTAATCTTGAAATTCCATCTGTATGAAAAACTTTAATATCCTATAGCTATCTTAAGAGAAACTATCTTAAGAGAAATAATTGATTGTAATCAAATAAGGATTATGAAAGCAGAGGAAAGGCGTATCAGCAATTGTCTATTAGAATTAGGAAGACACATATATTTAATAAGTACAATTAATATAATAATCGAATTTGTAGAGATAACTTCGTCAGTTATAAGAGATTACTTAGGCCGATATTCGTAGTCAGTTCTTATATTTAAGATCGTCCTAAAATAACATTTCAATAGGGTAGCTGTATGTGCTTATTTAAGGCCTTACTTTAAGGCTTATTTAAGACCTTAAATGTAATAGCTGATTATGAATATCAATCTTAGTCTTTCTTTAGACGTAATACAGATGATAAACTCAGTGAAGATACTATAAACATTATAAACAGCGAGAAAAATCAGGTCAATAAGAAAAGAAGACAAGAAAAGTAGACAAGAAAAGAATGCGTATAAGCAGCTGAGAACTGAATATCTAAATAACTAAAGAAAGGGAAAGGCTCTAGAGCAAATATGTAATTTTTGTAATGTATTTTACTTGGAGAATAATATATTAGGTTGGACAATATTTTTGTGTGATTTTTTATCTGTAAATGAAAAATGACATCTTTGCGATTCACCAATTCCAAATTCTCGTGGTGTTCAATTTATCCAATTGACTACAATATATATCCCAATTGATCATTATGTTAGCATCATCCATTTTTACAACAAAAAAAAAAAAAAAAAAAAAAAAAAAAAAAAAAAAAAAAAAAAAATAAAAATAAAATAAATAAAATAAAAATAAAAA